TTGTGTTTTATGCAATATGTTACACCAGTTGTTCTCTTACATCTCACACTTAATACCACTCTTAAAAAGCTTGACTTTCAGAGCACCATCATGCTGAGTCTAAGATTAAAAAAGGTTTTACTGTTTAGTGGTATATATACCACATTTCGGGAACCACTGTGATTTACTTTAACTCTATCTGTGAAGAGTGGGGATAGTGAGAGCTTGTGTGTGTGTGTGTGTGTGTGTGTGTGTGTGTGTGTGTGTGTGTGTGTGTGTGTGTGTGTGTGTGTGTGTGTGTGTGTGTGTGTGTGTGTGGTGTGAGGGGGTGCATGGTGTGAATGAGTGTGAGTGCGTGTGTTGAGGTTTTTCTTGTATCTTGTATTTTGTATCTACTCTGTTGTTTTGCTTTTCTATATTGTTTGGACATGATCCTGAGGACCCCCATGAAAACGAGATGTTTCATCTCATGGGGCTGATCCTCTAATAAATGTTCATAAATAAATAAATCTAGTCCCTTCAATGTTCTATGTTCCTTCAATTTTTCTTGCCCATTTTATCATCTGTCAAATGAAAACTGTGAAATGTATCACTTAAAAAAAGATATGAGATATATCTGGGGCACAAATGGATTTGTTCAAATCCTAAACCCTAAGTGTAAGCACTAGAAAAAGCCTTAAAGGAGAACTCCGGCACAAAATGAACCTTTGGTCTAATACGCTGATTTCACGCAGCCACGATTTTGAAATCGAAAGCGAGGCTCCGGTGGGAAGAACCCCGGAAGTACAGATAGACAACAGTGCCTTGGACTACCAACCTGGAGCTGCTGCCGCGATTTACACTATTGGATGTTAATATCCAATATAGGATATGTATATAGTTCGTTCCTGCTTCTTTTTTTTACGTTCTGAATTATATATAAAATAATTATTTTATTTATAAATTAATTTCACTGTATATAGTCTAAAATATGAAAGAAATGTATGTACATTTTTAGAATAACTAATTTCTACATTAAACACAACAATATGCCATCGCATTCGCGACTCTCCTATGATTAAAGGCGACACTTCCGGTTTTCTTCCCACCGGAGCCATTTCAAAATGGCAGCTGCGTGAAATCAGCGTATAAAACATTGGTACCTAGTCAACCGTTCTCTGAGATTTGTTTTCATGATAATCGAATGTAAAGAGTTTTATCTCTAAAAACTGTTTAGCGTATAACGCTAGTAATGGGGGCATTTAATAAGTAAAAAGAAATCGCTAGTTTATACCACTAACAAGGCTCAAAATAGCCCCACACTAACACAGTAACATAATGAGGGTCCCTACATGCAAAACGAAGCATTGAGAACTTTGTAAGTACAGACCGTTTAATAAGAAGATAAAGATAAAGACAGTCCACTTTGTGTATACAGACAGGAGCCATCTTTGGAAAACAGTCTCGACTAATCAAACCCCGAACGACGTGCTAAGTGAGCTGAACTGTATGAAGTTCATTGAACTTCTGAACTGTATGAATGGCATTCGGGGTTTGATTAGTCGAGACTGTTTTCCAAAGATGGCTCCTGTCTGTATACACGACGCGGACTGTCTTTATCTTTATCTTCTTATTAAACGGTCTGTACACTTACAAAGTTCTCAATGCTTCGTTTTGCATGTAGGGACCCTCATTATGTTACTGTGTTAGTGTGGGGCTATTTTGAGCCTTGTTAGTGGTATAAACTAGCGATTTCGTTTTACTTATTATATGCCCCCATTACTAGGGTTATACGCTAAACAGTTTTTAGAGATAAAACTTTTTACATTCGATTATCATGAAAACAAATCTCAGAGAACGGTTGACTAGGTACCAATGTTTTATTAGACCAAAGGTTCATTTTGCGCCGGAGTTCTCCTTTAACAAGCACCACTAATGTGATATGAACAGTCGTAACTATTTCCTGTTTGTCTAGCATCTACAAAGAAGATAAACACCTGTAATTGCCGCAATATTAAAGTGGCTGAGGAAGAATGTTTTGCGTCTGAGATGCAAAGGAAGGTACAAATTACTACATACTGACAGTGTTCATTTTTGCTCAATTGAAATCAGCGTAGGTGGAAAAATAGCAACTTGCGATATCTTCAAGCCAATGTGAAGTGGTCCAGACAAAAGCCGCTGTCTATGTGATGCTTTTGACTATCTTCCAGTTGTATAAGACGATGTGGTCTAGGCCAAACACCATTTCATAGCTTTGCAATGACAGACACTTTTCCTTCGCTATAACCACATTTGATGTTTTTTCTTTAAATTGTTAGTCAAAACGAGCAGATATTTTCAAATAAAATCTAAACGACTTGGACTGTTGTGTTCAAGTTGTCAAGAATTAATTCTATGTACAAAGCAAGAGCTTCTTAAACATGCCGACCATATTCCCTCCAAATGACATGTAACAACAAAGCAAACCTCAAATCAACTTCTGGGAAATTTCACCACCTCAGCTCCAGAGTTCCCTTAGAATTGTGGCACTCTGTCAGCAAATCAGTTCCTTTTTACCCAGACATTTACATTTACATTTATTCATTTAGCTGACGCTTTTATCCAAAGCTATATATGTCAGAGGTCGCACGCCTCTGGAGCAACTAGGGGTTAAGTGTCTTGCTCAGGGACACATTGGTGTCTCACAGTGGATTCGAACCCGGGTCTCTCACACCAACGGCATGTGTCTTATCCACTGCGCCATCACCACCCGTGGTGACATGGGTACATTTTCATCTGGAGTCCCAGAAGTTTGGTTAAACGATGGAGTTGTTATATTTGTATAATAGAATAGAGTTAACAAGCAAGGGTTGCATGAGTGTAATTGTGGTTAATTCTGGATAAATGTAAATCACCATTTAAAGAAATCTGGATGCTAAATACCAATAGAAAGGTAAGAAGCCCCTTTGTACTGCAAAGAAGAAAAAGCACTGGATCAAACTCAGCTGACGATTTTGTTCTTCTCTACTGTTGCCACATCTTTTTGTAATTCTAGAGAGGATGCAGCAACCCCGCTATTATGCATTTCATCATTTCCCATATCCAAACCAGAATAAATGTCAGCTTGATGGCACTGTGGTAAAGCAAAATATCACATCCAAAAAAGCTCAAGTACTGTGAATGCAAATACTTGAATCAATCAAACAGGCAATCAATCAACATGCCTCCAGGAGAAACAAACTCCTCATCTGATGCATGCAAACAAGAAGTGAAAAACTGTGCCATCTACTGTTTAAATGAATGTGCCCTGTCTGGCATACAGCAGATCATAGAAGGTAACAAAAGATGTTATGATTGTGTCCCTCAAAATCAGATGAAAGCATTCATACAAATAAATAACATTTGGAAAGAACATTTGTTTATTACTTTAAGTCTTCAGGTGAAAAAGGATAGTAACACAAAACAACACAAGAAAAGTTATACATTCTTTTACTTTCCCTCAAACACTGCTGGCAGTGATAAACTTCTATTTAAGGACTAGTTCTTAGATGTGCAAGACATTTCTGCAACTTATAGGGTCAACTTTATTAATGTGCCAGACTCTTTATAAAAAAAAAACCTGTCTTAATGATGATGTACATGTAAATGACTCATAAGTCATCATTAATCAATCTCAAGGCAAAAGGTTTCAGTTATAGCAGTTCTTCGAACAAGCTTAGTAAAAACACTTTAATAAAAACAATCAGAAAACTATTTTTGACCCACTAATAAAAAGTCAGAAATACTACAGGGTTTTTCCTAGATTAAAAATTATTTTCAGTGGTATCTTACAATAATACATACACGTGCAAATTTGATTACTAAATGCAAATAACTAATAATAATAATAATATAAAAGCATCATAATATGTATTCTAATTGTTATTATATTTACATAGGAGATAAGAGATCTAAGCATCTGGAACTTTATGAATTTGACCATTTTTGGTAACACTTTACAACAAGGTTCAATTTCTTAAAATTAAAAACTTTTCACAGCATGTATTAATCTAAGTTGTAGTTCATATTTGTTCATAATACATTAACTAATGTTAGTTTATACAACTCTAAATGTTAAAGTATTATTATACGTAGAATTTAATATTAACAAATGCAGTAAAAATATTTGTCATAGTTAGTTCATGATGCATTAACTCACGAATGCATTAGTTAAAACTCTACAATAGTGTGTTACCAATTTTCCTAACTCAAAATGCTCTAGGAAGTCAAACTAAAGTGCAGAACTTTCAGAACTGTAAGAAGAAGAAAAAATAAGTTAACTTCCACATTTGCATCCCAGAGATTATTGATTATGAATTTAGGGCTAACTAGTCGTTTAAGGTGTTTGATTCCTCAATGGGTCACACAGGTATTATGGTCTGTTGTTTGTGTTGTGCTGTAACACTTTCCCATTTCAAAACGTAGAACTCAGGATAAAGAGACGACGATCTTATGGGGAAAATACCGCATCAAAGGCTAATATTATTTGCTTTAGGAAACGCAAATTTTCACGTTGGTGGCCACCAAAGAAATTTTCAAAGAAGGAAAAACCCTGTATTAAACGAGCACAAAATAAGCAGAAATATAAATGCTGTTAATTCACTGGAAGTCACAGAATTATACATGAGATAAGCTCTGGATCAACAGTAACAGTGTATCAAGTACATAGGTAACTCTATAACACTCAAATCCTGAGCTCTCCGATACTGTTGGTGCAAATATTTTTAAAACCAATGACTTTATTGTAGAAGGTCTTTAACACCACACAAAATCAACAGAAATGAACAACTGACTCTGAAATAAGGCTTTTTTAGACCCAAGTGACCTTTCAAAGCATATAATTATTGCATAAATGGCAAAAGGCTGAACAAATGGCTTGAGGTTCCAAAAAACACTGATCATCTGCTGATATTTCTGTGCAAAAGGACTGAAAACCAAAAGCATCTACTAAAGATGTTTTGCAGTTCACTTCAACAAGTGTATGTTGATGATAACGGAACAAAAACCTTGAAATCCCCATTATAAAAAAAAAAAAAAAAAAAGATCCAGGCTTATTCTCATTTGTTGAAAGATGGCATGTTTCCTGAGAGGATCCTGAGTATAGTACGTCACAGTTTCTTAAAAGGTGTGTTGCTGTTCTCAAAGTGATAACAGAGAGGAGAATATTTGCACAAGGCTGCTGGTGGCAGAGATACTGCGCTCAGTTCAGTGGGATAAAGCCCATGTCGGGAGCGTCACTAAAAATGAGCGGACTGTGGCCGAGGGAGTACGGGGGGCTGGGTAGACGCAACACGGGTTTGTGTGTGTGAAGAGCAGCTCGTTTGTTCCCTCTCTGCGGGCAAGGCATGTCTGTGGGGCGTCGGGCCTGGCGGCCTGAGCAGCCGGTAGAAGGCTTGCTGGGGGGAGAGACCATGATGGAGACGGTACTTAGTGGACTCTCTCGGGTAACCGGGGCAGTTTTGGGTGTGCCTGGAGTGCAGGTGCTCTGGATCACTGTAGAGTGTGCCATTGATTCTATAAACTCCTTTGTGCCCTGTGTGCACTGCAAAAGAATGGCAAAAAAAAAAAAAAAAAGAGTAAGAGACTAAAAACACTAACATATTAGATCACACTCACAGTCATACTTAAGTAAGCAAGTGCGAACTGATGTTAAGACAGAAGAGCAAGTATGAGTATGAGAAGCTAGCCAAATCAGAATAAAGATGAAAGTAGGTTAGTACTGCCAGGAAATGAATGAGAAGAAAATGTGGAAACCAAGCATCTTGTTTTACGGTTTCCAATGAGCTCAGGGTGAAGCTGATTTTATAAGGGGTTCTCCAGGGGTCACAAAAAAATGTAAACACTTCCTTAACATCAGGATAAACATCCATCATGAGAAGAGGTGGAAAAAGAACACGTGCGCATGATAACTAGCATGACCTCAGTCGACAGAATCCCAAGACTGGATGAAAGTGAGATAAGCACAGACGAATCTTGATGATGATACATTAGTTAGGAAACAATGACATAATGGAGGAAAAACAAAACAACTGCAGACCTCTGGCGAGCACTAATATATGAACACATGACCATTATAAAATGGAGTAAAAACAGATGTCAGCTAAAACACTCAACTCATCCAGGAGAAAGAAGGAACAGAATAGACGACATCATCAATGATTTCCGCTCTCATGACGGACATGTTTGATGCAAAGAAATGGAAGCCAAGCAGACAGCCAACGGGTCATGAGAAGGTGGTCACGAATGGCATGCAAGCAGCCCCATAACACACCCTTACCATTGAACGTCACTGAGCTGCAGGAGCCTTCAGGCAGTGCAGGAGAGCGCAAACTCCTGACAGTTCTCCTCCTGTGTAAGGTTTATAACTTCAAACATCAGGGCTTGACGCAGGTCAATATCAAAACAGCACAATAAACTAATATGATTTGTATTTGTGGACTTCAATATTTTCCAAGCTAAAAGCATTAAAAACATACATTTTTACAATAATATCCTCCTTGGCATGATTTCACACCACTCTAGATTTGTAACTCAGGGATCTTTCCATGTGCATAATCATATCTTCACACATCAGGTGCAAGCCTCATTAACTGTAACTCTTTCCCAGCAAGACATCATTCGCCAGTGTTTACATTAAATATGATTAAACCTGGATAACCTCACATGCATTTTCACATGCTTTTCTGTGTCAAAGCTTAGGTTTCAGATCTGTTAAAATTTTGGTTTCTGTTTATATTTGCACTACTGTTTAAAAGTTTGGGGACATTAAGACTGTTTTTGAAAGTAGTCTCTTATGCTCACCAAGGATGCATTTATTTGATAAAGAAAAACTGTAACACTGAAATATTAATAAAATCTAAAATAGCCGTTTTCTATTTTAATATATTATAAAATGCTATTTATTTCAGTGATGGCAAAGCTGAATTTGTAGCAGCCATAACTCCAGTCTTCAGTGTCACATGATACTTCAGAAATCATTCTAATATGCTGATTTGCTGCTCAAGAAACATTTCTTATTATTATCAATGTTGAAAACAGTTGTCTGTTTTTGCATTTATTTAAAATTGTTTTTTTTTGTAACTGTAAAAGTCCAAGTTAAACCTTACTGACCCCAAACTTTTAAACGGTAGTTTATGGCTTGAAATGCCACAGAATGCTTTTTGGTTGATGGTGGATGCAGTAATGCATGAGGATGTTATACCATAGCTACCAGGGCTTTACAGTGCAACAGCCATGTATATGTGACACATTCTAAGAAAAATATACCTGTTTTATACCTGTGCAACAATTGTGTGGGCTGTGCTAGAAAACTTTCAACCTCTGTAGCACCAGTGCTATGTATGTAAAAAAAAAAAAAAATTTACCATACAGACCCAGCTACAATGCTTTAACTATTAAAAAAAAATCATGATTTTGGAACTAATGCTCCGACTTGAAGATATCACATGACGAGGCACTCTTACCATGTTTGTGTCATTCTTGGCCATGAAAGGAGGGAGCTCAGCATCAGAGGTCACCGTTTGAGGTGCGTCATCTGGAGGTAAAAAGCCTCTTCTGTCAATCAAGCTGTAAAAGATGAAAAGGATGAGTGCGTGACCTATTTTGACTTGACTTTCAAAAGACAGCATAGACAGACCTCAGAAAAAGTCAAAGAATTGCACAATTAACATGTCACGGCTGAGAAACTGTAAATCAGTCTGAAGCTAAATGACAAGCAGTTGACATCCTTCACTTACTCATTAACAAACTCTGATATTTATCATTTTTAAACATCTGCGGTACTTACCTGGGTGGCATTGGCCCACACAGCACCACACAACAGTTTGTGAAGATGTTGTTATAGGTGTATGGATTCCCTGAATCTTCACCTCTTTTACTGGACCAAGAGCCTTTGATCTGCAATGTACAAAACACTGCATTTAAATGATAAGTATTGATTACATTATTAAATAATTAATTATATTGCTTTTTGATATTATTGATTAAATGTATGCATTCATGGTGATATTTACATCTTCGTTGGTTGTGAGGTTGGAGGCCACAAGATAAGTATGGAAACCTGACAGACCCAGAATGGACCAGATGGAGAAGAAGCAAATGACCAGCTCCACAACAGTGCAGGAAGGGTTAAGGGTGAAAATCTGTTGTAAATGTGTGTCCAGATAAACATTATAAAAGGCCCATTCACACCAGGAACAAGATTATATTGTTTTGTTTATTCTAAGCATGAGCTGCAATTTTCTTCTCTCCCGCTTTAAATGCTTAAGCGCTTTCAAGTCTGGTGGATTCTTACTGGCTGTCTTTGTTTATATCGTTAATCAGTAGGAAAAAAAAAATCTGAAAATTTATTTCAGTTTTTCTTTGCCGTTATCGTTATAGGTGTGATGTAGACTCTGCCACAAACTTAAAGGTGCTATATGTAACTTTTCTTCTAAAATGAATCCTTTTTTTATTGCCTGTGTGTGAAGGGGTTGTAATCACACATTACAATAATCCACTTGTCGGGTTTTGCTATTACCTCTGAAGGCCAGTATTCCTATTTTTATGTGAAGTCTCCGGGTCGGATTTTCTGCGAAATCCATCGGATGTGACGTGCATGCGCGCTCCCGAGCCTCTCTCCTTTCCTTTTTATATACAGTCTATGCGACGGCACTGCAGCTAACGACATGAGTCTGATAACACCAAAAAACGACCTGCCTCCAGTACAACACAGACTCCAACACAAACTCCACATAAATATAAAAAACAAAACAAAATTTATCTGCAAAAATTTATCTCGTCAGGCCAAACGTGAATCGGATCGACTTAGGACGAAAACATGGATCAACATCGGCAGAGCGTTTGAATTATGGAGACCTCTGCTGTTTTTATTGTGGTAAATTTCAAGTTTTTAGATATGCTGAAATAAATAATGGTGAACTAATGAAATAGCAAGGTAAACTACAACATACATGAGACATGAAATTAATACAAAAGACTGTTCCAGGATAAAAAAAGTAGGTGCTTTAGGATGTAACTTTTATTTAATGTAGGCTACTGTCTAACGTCACACATCCCACTACTATCATATTGTTTATAATACACATTTCCAGACACGTTCAGTACAGTAATGTTACGATCTTACTGTTACACTGAAATTGTTCAGTCTAGTTCACTAGCCGTTTTCGTTATCATATTATATATTCACCTATGTTGACATTGCTGATTGTGAAAGATACACGAATAGTTAGTGAAATGCCTTATGCTATAACACCACATGTCGGCTAAATGCAGTCAATGTAACGTTATCATGGTACGAGCATGGAGCATTAGTTCAACATCAAGCTGATAAAAGTAGCCTATTATTCCAGCATGTTGTGTGATGCTTTCTCCGGTCAGTTGAAAGTCTCAGTGTGGCCGGTACCATGAGTGCTCGCTCTTGAGTTCGAGCACACGCAAGAGCACGAGCGCTCTTGTAAAAATTGGTTGCAATCTGAAACATCACCGATAGAGGCCGCTAAAAAATACATATAGAACCTTTAAAAGGGGGCTGGACACCAGCGGAATCTGTATCTAGCGGCAGCTGTTGCCGTCCTGACAGGAGAGCAGGGCGTGGTGGAATCCTTGAGCCGATTAGGGATGAATGGGATTAGGAAATAGGCGGAACCAACAGCAGTTTAAACATATAGTGAACTCTGTCAGCCGTGCTATTGTCTGCTTACTGTTAACAGTAAAAAAGGATATCTGGCTGGCCTGTCCTGTATTGCCTGGATGATACCGCCTCCAACTTGTGATCCTGTTGATAAGAGTAACTGATCAGAGAACAAAACTGCTTCAAAATTTACTCACAAAAGGTCAGTCAAAACACAATCTCAAACGTATCTACAGTACTGTTAAAAAGTGTGCATTTAATTAATCCAAAATACAATAAAAACTAGGGCTGGGTATCGAGTTCAATACTTTTTAGGCACCGACCGAATTGCCTCGATACCATTGAGTATCAAAAAATGTACAAATTTCGATACCTTGGGGCTATATCTTGTCAACATCAGTGAAACAATAAGCATGCAGCATGTATGATGTGCCCAAATCAAGTGCTGGTGATTGGCTGTGGCGAGGCATCAAAGAAAAACACTAGTTTTTTTCGACTTGATAGCAACAGCGCGCGATGCAATGAATGGCACAGACGAGCACCGCCGTTCATTAACACAGAGACACGCAGAACTTGCAGGATTCATATTTAAATCGTCCTTTTGCAGTTTAATATTCTCACTTTGACAACATTTAATTTGAGAGAAACTATCATCACAAAACAGAAGAAGGTCTACACGGCAACCAGTCAAAATAAAGATTTGGTTTAACTTAAACGGCAATAGAAATTTATTACTCTTGTACAGTATAATGTACAAATTAATGTAATACTACTACTAATAATAATAATAATAAAATTATTTTAAAAACAAATTTTAATGTTACAGCCTCTGGTATAACATTATCTGTTCATAAAATTGGTATCGAAAAAGGTATCGGTCAGAAACCGGTATCGATATCGACATTTTAAAGAAAAAGTACTCCGTAATAATATGAAATATTTTTGCAATTTAAAATAACTGTTTTCTATTTTAATATATTTCAAAATGTAATTTATTCCTGTGATGAAAAAGCTGAGTTTTCAGCAGCCATTATTTCAGTCTTCAGTGTCACATGATCCTTCAGAAATCATTCTAATATGCTGATTTGATGCTCAAGAAACATTTCATATTATTATCACTGTTGAAACACTGTTAAACAGCTGTGCTATTCTTGTGGAAACTGTGATGCATTGTTTCTAAAATTCTTTCAGCAGAGCAAGTTCAAAGCAGAGAAAGTTAAAAAGAACAGCTTTTTTAAATATAAATTTATTGTATCATCATGAATGACTTTCCTTTCACTTTTGATCAAATTAATTTCTCCTTGCTAAATAACAATATTAATTTCTCTTAAAAAGATTTTTACTGACTTTGCTTTTGAACAGTATTGTACATTATTTGAACAAACCCGATTTCAATGTAGACGCATGCACTCAAATCTCATCTCCCCACTGACAACTATAATACACAATCACCAAGGCTGTTTTTGAGTGAAAGTGACTGTGGTAAAACTTACGTAAAGTGAGGTGAGTAATCACACAGCCAAAGATAAAGGAGGTCAGAAATGATAGTGACACTATGAAGGCATAAAAAAAGCGATAGTTGCGCTTTCCAACACAGTTCCCGACCCAAGGACAGTGATGGTCGAACCGCTCTACAAGGGGAACAGAGCAGAACATTATGAGAAACAACGCTTACAAGAAACCTCCGTGCATTCTCATGCAATGATTATAAGGAAGGGATTTGTGTCACGGGTTAAACTATTACACATTCATTATCACAGCAGATGCAACATGACATTTTGTAGCTTTTAAAGACGCCCATGGGGTTTCAAACCAGTATGACTTCCTTCCATGAAATTACAATAAATGGGTACTTGAGTTTTTAAAGTTCAAAAAAGAAAAAGCACAGTAAAAGTTTCATACAAATTAACCATATGACTTGTGGTTTCTTCGTTTTTTGTTTTGTTCAGCACTTTGGTCAGCTGTGTTAAATGTGCTATACAAATAAATAAAAACAATGAGACACTTCTCAAAATATCTTCTTTTATGTTCCCACAGAAGAGAAAGAAAGTCATACAGGTTTGGAACAACATGAGGGTGAGTAAATCATGACACAATTTCCATTTAATAACTGCATGAAAAAAAAGTCATCATGTCATCATTTCATTTGGGGTTTAGGCTAAAATACAGGTGAGAGAGAGATGACACTTTAATCTCTCAATGAAATATTACAAATTATTAAATATTACTATTATTTAAATGCAGAAACTTTGTATGCTGAAAATCCTTCCTTACCGACACAGTTGTCACACAGGCTGCAGTGGGATGTCCGGGGCGGACGGAACATCTTGCATGTGAAACAATATTTAAGCTTTACCACCTGGTCATTTATAAGTATCTCTTTAGTGCGGGGAGGTGGACGGTATGTTGAAGATCCAGAATTATCTTGGAAGAAACCAACAATTTTATTATAAACACATACAAGTTAGGAGGCAAAATGAAGACAAATAACAAAGTACATATTCAAAGCCTCACCAATCTGTCTCTCTATGTCCGCAGCCTCATCCGGCAAAGCCCTGGGTAAGATCCCTGGGTCTGTAAAACTGGTTTGAAGGAGGGTGAAGATGACAAATACAAATAAAACCCCACCGATTACTGGAATGAAGATAGTGAGGTGATGCACCAGAAAGGGGCAACTGTTATGAATCAAGCACAAAGACAAGGACAAAGTTATCAGCTGATACAAACATGGTTTAAAAAGCTTACTTTCTGATGATAAACCATGACCATGCAACTCTTTGAGACTGGCATGTCAAGAAGGGCGGTGGAGATGTCTCTATTGTCAAAAGTAGTAGTATTGTCTAGCAGTGTGAACAGTGGTGTCTCTGTGAGTAAGTGCATTCTACTCACTCAAATGTGAAGAATAAGCCACTGGTGATGACAATAAGGACGATGGTCAGCGGGAGCACACCACACTGCCTGGCCAACATAATACGACCATCACAGTAGAAGCGATTTTTCCCAGGGAAAATCTCCCATTTTCTCCGCAGGCGCTGGGAGCTTTTCCTCCCACAGGGCAGGGTGGAGGACGTTCGGGTGGTTGATGTTCTGAGCGCTCGTGGGTCTATTTGTTGATACTCACAGTTTTTCATTTTCAGAAAATGTAACTGACGGTCTAGAGTTCGGAGAGTATAGATGTAACGTTAACGTAACCTTAAGAACAGGTTAAGTTAACTTGTTACAAACCAAGCCCTAACAAAGAGGAAGCTAGATCGAAACTATGTATCAGTTTTGAAGCTCCGCCACATATTACTAAAGATACAGTCAGAAATGTACTGACAATTCACTTAGGTGCTAAGATCAACACAACTAACAGTTAACGTTACTGAACTCATTTAACGTTAACTGAAAGTCCACAAAGCACATAATACGTTGCTCAATGCATTCGTTTGCAATTACACATCCCCTATAGGGATTATACCGATGAACAATTATTATATTATCATGCCATGTTGTTGCTTTCAATAACTTAGGAGTCTCTTAGCTAAGCTAATTGCGTTAGCTTTTTGACTAGCTGTCAACTATCTCAGCGGACGACATTACTCCTCACGCGCTGTTCAACCGTCATTTGAACGACACTCGGCTCCTCGCGCTGCCCAATCGCTGTCCAACCGTAATGAGTCTGCTGGGAATCAAAAATCAGATCAGACCATGTTGTTTATAATTCTCTAAGAGCTAATATAACCGAGCGTTAAGCTACGGTTGAGATACAACAATATTAACCTCAGTACGATCACTTCCCTAGCCGAGGACTACCTGAAGAAAGCGACCAATGACTCGCAAGGGATGCGTCATCTCAGTCAGACCAATGAAAGAACACTTCCGAGACACTACCACACCCTCTGTATAGTTTTTTCTGATCCTTATTTGTTGTACACAAAAATTTCAAATGTAACAAATATATGCAAAATATACACATTATGAATGTAACACAATATGTATGCATTAAGGGGCGAACAAACAAAACTTTATAAAATATTAAAGAAATAAATTTATTTTAATTACCTTTTGTGGGCCAAAGTGTTCCAACTTGTTCTCCTTTAAAAAAAAAAAACAATAAAGCAAAGAGCACTTTTTTTTTTTTTTGTAAGAGTGGTCCAGTGTTGGCATTGTTAACGAAACAAATTTTTGTGTCTATAACTATTTTTTAAATTAGCAAGTTGAAATAAATTCTAATATAAATGTTAGATGGGAAAAAGTAAGCCTAAACATTTTTAACGATAATTAGAAATGCTTATTTAGCAACTAACTGGAATAAGTTTAATTTGAAGTACTAAAATTACTAAAACAGACAAAATAAAGCTAAATAGAAAAAAATAATTAAAGATGGCAATTAATAAACAAAATTACTAAAACGTATTAACTAAAAAACTTTTTTTTTTTTTTTATAATGGCCAACTAAAAATATTAATCAATACTTTAACAGTAAAGAAATAATATTAAAATAACATTGGAACTGTCACAGACTCTTATTTTACCATTTTTGTATGAACAGACCACTTATGACACTTTGTACCCACTAGATGGTGATACAACACAATATAACAGGCGTCTTGTGATGTGACCATGTGCAAACGTGCAAACCATGCCTTGATGAACCCTTTTTTTCCCCCATGCAAACTACAGACCAATTTTATGAAGGCCTGAATTTTTTTTATGGATATCAAAAGTAACTTAGCATTCAAGCACAGCATATAGTTTGGCTAAGGTTTTTTCTCTCTAATAGAAGTAAAATACAGGACTAATTTGTAAATGATCCAATAAGGATATTTACACCCAAATTAAACTTAAAAGGAATTGAACACGCCATTCATCCTGAATCTAAAAAGTATATTTATTAAATTCTTATCCAATACAAAAAATATATATTAGCCCTTTAAGGAACACCAGAAACGTCTTAAAATAATAAAATGCATTAATTACAAAAATATTTGCCAAGCAGCAATAATATTATTCAAAACCAGGCCAGAGGAATGTTAATGAAGACTGAAACAAGCTAATTTTATTCCTGTAAAGTTAAGTCCAGGGAAAGAAGTTACAGTGCAGAGCCAGACCTAAAAACCAATATGATATGAAATACCCTAGGATGCATCGTGTATAAACTGAGCAAGACTGCCATTGCATCAAGAGGTAAAGGACTTGATTATTTCTGCACATCCCCACAGCACATCTTAGGCCAGATTTGTGATCCTTTTGTTGTTGTATTTGGTCAGGCCTGAACAGCCTTTCATCTTGCAGCAGAGGTTCATACTGAAAAAGCAGGTGGCCACTGATCCAGTAGAGCACAGGCGAGGAGGAAGCAAGAAACCGTGTCAACACCTGAGAGGACACAATAAAACAAGGCATGTTGAGCAAGTATACTACACGTCACATGATAATAATCAATTTCAAGAATCTTACCTGCACATGCATAGAGAAAATCCCAAAAAGAAGAAGGACAGAACTGTGCACAATGTAAACAAAGACTTTTGGGTTACAGAAGCCATGCGTTTTTCTGTCTTTTCCTCTGTGTCCCAAACCCAAATACATACAAAACACTGGGTTAGCCAATATGTACATACATGAGGCGATGAATCCCAGAATTGCAACAGGCAGCGCCAAAATAAAGTTGGGTATCTGCTTCCATTGAAAGTATCGAAGGAAGCCCACATCCCAATAAGCATCTTGTATGTACGAATACAAAAGTGGTATTCGCCATTGGCACCATCTTGGTGTTGGAGAGTCTGCATCAGCCACACGGTATCCTTTGTCCCGGGCCAAATTAAGCAGCACATGGGGGACTTCAGTAGCAGTTGGATGGCAAAATGTTTGGTAACCATAGAACTGAAACAGGCAAAAAGGTAGCACTACAAGAGCTGCATAAAATGCTCCTGTGAGCACAAAACGAATAAGCTCCCAGACATAGTGATGATATCGAACGCATCCTTCTCCTTTGCTAAAGGCCCGGGTACGGGCAAAACCCCATTGCAAAGAGAGATACAGCAAAAATCCAGCATTCACAAGCCCATTGGCACGAGCACCTGTAGCAAACCCCAGCAGAAGACAAGCTCCTATTGTGAATCTCTTCTCTAGTAACCAGAGGCCTGAGAAGGTGAGAGCTGCAAAGAGAGTTTCTGAATAGCCTGCAACCATAAAAACATTAGCTGGTGTCAGACAGTACATCAAGACTGCAACAAGGGCAAGTTTTCTGTTCTGCACCACCAAACGACTCAGTTTGTATAGTGCCACGGCACTTATGACAAAAAGAATACTATTCCCTATAGCCACAGATAAAACTAATCGGCCATGCATTGTGAGAAATCCACACATAGGCCACAGAGCCGTGGCTGCCAGTAATCTCAGGATGAGAGGAAACAGAGGAAAGAATGCAAAATTGTGTTCATATAAGTATCCACGTTCTGCAATGAAGATGAAATGCTCTGCATCCCAGTGACTAAGGCCGCCAAATAATGCTTCGATGACAGGGTCAAGCAGGAGAGGGGTCTCTGATCGCGGAGGGCTAAAGGCATCTGCCACATGGTCTGGAATCACTGCATTCAGTACAGTCTGCAAAAAGGCACAAAATAAACAAACAGCAGTTATTCATATGCCCAGTTCTGCAGTAGGTGTCACTCTAATATCAATTTCACAAAAAAGCCCAAGCGCGTATTTTATGGCGCTTTATATCAAGTAATAAATGAAGACATCATGCAGAATACAAGTACAAATACATAATTTTATTTTAGTCTATTTCAGTCGTTCATGTCAGTTGCTTACCTGTAAAAATAGGGAAAGCAGTCGCGTGAACGTTGCAAACTGTACAACTGTCCACACGTCTTGATTTACACAATTGTTTGAAGGTGACATGTTTTACAGAAACTTTCATCAACGAAACCAGAACATTTCTCTCACTGAAAATAATCAAAACAGGCTCAGTAAATTAAGCGAGGCATCCTTAAAACAAAAGAAGCCAAAAAAGGCAGTATTCCTTTTTTTTTTCATTGAGTTTGTAACAACAGCAAAAACATCGCTGTCGCAGTCGAATAACAAAACAAAGTAGATTGTATTTACGTTTTCCAATTCGTCTCATAAAGCCACTAAATGGAACGATAGAAGTAACGACACGCACTTCCGTCATGCAGTCATATAAATGTCAAAATAAAAGTCCCATTATCTAAACCGATACCGTAGACCTGCTTTATATAAACCATTTATACTATATTACTTATCTTGCCCTGGCAATGAATACCTTCAAAATAGTTAACCATTCAATTATTTGTCTACTGCATAAACGAAGAAAATATGTATATATATTTGCTTCAGCTTTTCATGGTCTCACTCTCAACTATTTTCATTCCTTTCAACTGATAATATTAAACAATAGCATTAGAGTAATATTGAATCTTGCTCATTAAACTAATTTGTAACATACAAAGACAACGTTATAAAAAATACGTCTAAACTTTGATTTGATTTAACCTTCCATTCATAATCACATTCTAGGATAAATGGACTGTACTTTATTAAATAAAATAAAACATTGAACTGAAAATAATCACAAACATCTTACCAAGATTTAATGTACATTTATTCTTACCACGTGGAACATATAGTATAAAGATTTCATAGTGAATAAATGATATTCATTGAGCCAAAAAGGGGAAAAAAACAAGGAATTTACATTAAGCTACATAGTCTGAAATACAAATATGCAGAATTCATATCACTGGAGAAAAAATATCTCAACTGTGTTCTTCATCTAGAGTTATTTTGTTGTACCAGGAGACGAAATTAAAATATTTCAGTTGTTTGCTGCACTATAGAGGAACCGTGGAGGCCAAAAGATGGTTCAGTTTATATACCTAGGGATCTTGATGCAATTAACCCAACTTAAGTGTCCGCTCTTATTCTTCAAGGATAAAAAGGGATAAGAAGCAAGAGTGTGTGAAAGATAGAGAGAGAAAAGGAGGTGTAAATGTACAACATCTTATATACAGTACAGCCTCGGCTGCATCTTAAGTTGAAAACCAGTCCTAGGAGGTGATTTCTTTATAGGGGTCAATTCATACAATCAAGGGTTAAAGAGAAGAGGTCAGGGTGTTGTACGTCCTTGATACTTTGGGGGGTTATTCTCCTCACCAGCAAACTAATGGTTTAAAAACGGAGCTGACTGAGCCAACATTTTCACCATGTGGAACAGTGCAGTACGTTTGCAGTATGTTTACAGTTGTGGAGTAATGTACAGAAAATGATAACTCATTTCTGCTGTACACGCATCCAGAAAGT